AAAAAATGTGGCTCTCCAAAGAAATTTCAATCGTTGTCCTGTTGATGTTTGGCTCTGTTGACTAATGAGTTTGCTGACCGCTGTCCTCGGGGACTCTGCCTGCTGCGATTCTTGCAGTGTCCAAGCTGTAAAGGGCAGGGGTGTTAGCTGTGGCTGTGTGTGTGTGTGTGTGTGTTGGGGGCCTGGTGGGTCAGCATGAAGGCTGTGTGTCTGGTGGGTAAACGATGGGTCGGTTGTTTTGTGTTTTTGTTGAGTGGGGGCTCACCAGTGGGGGCTCCCTTTCTGACTGGAGCTGGATCTCAGCCCCTGGGGGGGCATCCTTCTTCAGCTCTGGGATCCCCAGCTCAGCTGTGTCTCCTTCCCCCACCAGGAGGGCCCCTCGGACTGGAGGGGAGGCCGGAGGAAGGGAAAAAGAGAGGAGAAAGGCCCCAGGCTTCTGCTTGCTCAGGGCTCTGGGCTCTGGGCCGGCAGCGGGAACATAAATCCGTCTGGGCGCTAGGGGGCACTGTGTCTGTTCCAAAGAAACCGCAGGCCCTTGCAGGCGGCGGCGCACACAGGCACACGCAGGGGCGCCCACACCGAGGAGACGCACACCCTGGCGTGTCCAGGGGCACAGATGGGCCCAGGCAGTGGCACTGGCTCTCATCCTCGCAGAGAAAGCAGACGCGTGAGCAGAGATGCAGGCACACAAGGTAGGAAGCAGCTGCACACACAGGGACACACTCAGAGGCATCACACAGAAGCACGGGGTTGGAGACACACAGGCATGGACACAAACGCATGCATATGTCCTTCCTCCCCCACACAGACGAAGACACAGATGCAGGCACATGCCACGTATGTGCCTGGCATTTGTAGCATGAAGAAGAGGTGGCTTGGGCACACGGCCTGCACAGAAACACAGCGAGCCCAACCACACGCACGCACGCACGCACGCACGCACCCTGCTTGCAGACATTTGCACACCTTGCAGACTGCGCTCTTGGAAACGGCCCTGAAGAAAAACTCCCACACACCCCTCTCCGCGGTGCACAGGATAATTCCACAGGAAACCTGCCCACGGGTTCAGGGGACGACCCCCCCCCCCACCCAGTCATGTTTCAGCCTAGAGCACACCCCAACCAGGGTCTCCCCAGACTGCTGATCTGTGGGAGCATTCTGCCCCCGCCCTTGCCCACCCCGGGCTCCAGACAGCTCCCCACGTCCCCTCGTCCCTCTGGACACACGTCCCGTGTGACACACGCATAACCCAGAACCGATCACTCTGGACCAGGTATGTGACCAGCCGTCGGGGGCTTTGCCCACACAGGGGTCCGTCCTCCTCCTGGCAACCCAGTCCCCCTATGGATCCCCTTCGAGCCCAAGAGGCTTCGTGTCCCCCAGGTTCCAGCCTGGGGCCCCGTGGGTGGGGAAGGTGCCACCAGAGGCCTACCCAGGCCCTTCCGTTCTTTGTGCCTGAATCAGCCAAGCCCTCCCTCTCTCCTCAGCCTCCCACTTCCCTGTCACTTTGCTAAGTAATAATTTCCATGTCCAATTCCATTTCTTTTCTAGTTCTGAAACCTCTAAGCTATCAGCAAGAGGATAGTTCACATGAAAACTAATTACACAAAATCAATATTTAATCACAGACCAACAACCTGATCCTGCAGAAAAAATCCTTTTAAAACTCCGCCGCCCTGTACAAATACTTCTTCTGCCTGCTTATTTATGGACCCCGTGTTCAGTGGGGGTAATTTTCATTTTTAATTTCAAAAAGAGGGGGAAAAACATATCTGTCGGCATTCCCAGCAGGGAGGTGGGTCCCAGGAAGGAAGGACCTTGTGGGTCTGAGCTGGCTTCTGCTCCCTGAGTTTTAAAGTTGCAGGTTTTTTTTTTAATTTTTTTTTATTGTTTGCCTTTTATTTATTTTTATATTCTTCTCGGAGGGCAGTGGGGAGGTGTCCTTTTCTCCCTGAGTTCCTTGAGATCCCTGTCTCCTCTCACCCCTACGTTGAGCTCTTTCCCCAGCATTTCTGAAAAAAAAAAAAAAAAAAAAAAAAAAAAAAAAAAAAAAAAAAATCCAGCATCTGTCTTCCCAGCAGCAGCTCAGGGGGAGCAATGAATTCGCTTGTGCGAAGTGGTAACTTTTAAACTCCCTCCCCGTGTTCCGTGGAGTGCTTAATCTGGGGTTTTTTAAATAAAAAGGGCTCAGGGGTTGGTTTTATGATAACGTTTATTTCATTTCAGATTTCATGCGTAATTTAGCAAACGCTAGACAGACGCAGGCGATAAACACTTCCCTTTGTGGGGGGGGGGGGCGAAGGGGAGGAAAGGCATTTTTATACACCATGCTTAATTTTATTTAGATGTCGTAGCGATATCAGGGGCACTTCAAAAAAAGTTCTTTTTTTTTTTTTTTTTTTTTTTTTTTTTTTTTTTTTTTTTTTTTTTTTTCCTTTCCTTTCCTCCCCTTCTCCCAAGAATGCTGGCCGGCTCACAAAATCGCCTCGTGCTATTTTATAGCAAGGAGCATTAAAAGCCTTCCCCTTCCTTCCCCCGCACACACTTTGGGGAGGGAATACACACAGACAGGCACACAGAATACACACCTCCTCTCCCCTCCTCACCCCATCACCCCTAACTCCCAACTTGCAACGGGCAAGATAGATTCCGGCCTCGGTGGGGATCAGGAGGAAGATCTAAACATTTTAACTAAGATTATCGGGATAAATATTTCATAAAGAGCAGGGCAGATATTAAATGACTCCTATTGATTTGAGTATCACAAGCCCAATTCCTTGGCCTCTTCGGTTTAATTGATCTCTTAAGGAGGCCAGCCTCGCGCCCACTGGGTCTCGGTCGGGTCTGGTGGTCGCTAGTGGGGTCCTCCCGCCCGCCCGCCCGCCCGTGCGTCCTTGTGCGCGCTTTTATCTTGCTCGCATCTCTGCGCTGGACTTAGCCGAGGGCCCCCCTAAAAAAGGGATCGAGTGGTCACGGCTCCTCCTCCGGTGGAAGCCAGCGCCTGAGGACTGGGAGTCTCAGGCAGGGGGATTAGGGAACAATTGTGCATGCCCTTGCGAGGGAGGGGCGGGCAGGAGCGCGGGTGTCTGGAGGAGAACCCTAACTTCGGGGGGGGCGGGGGTTTGGGGGGTTCCCGGTTTGCTTTCACCTCCAGGAAAATCCACTCGCCGCTCGTGAGCGGGCCACGGTGGAGAGTCGAGGGCTTGCCGCCTCGGGTGGAAGCAAGAGTGGACACTTGGCGACTTTTCCCGGCGGCGAGTCCGGGCGCTGCGCCCGGCGACCCCATTGTTTGAGCGGGGGCCCCCGCACCGCTTCCCACCCACCCACCTCCCCACCCCCTTGCCACCCACCCCGCGGGTCTCGCTTGCTTCAGCTGGGGGTGGGGAGTTGGGAACCCGGAGGGTAGAAAGGGGGTGAACACAAAGCCAAGCTCCCGCCCTTCGAAGCCTGCGCGCCCTCTCCGCCCCGACGCGCTGGGAGGAGGCCGGGGCGCGCGCCCCCAAGCGCCCTGGGCCCGGACCCCCACGGCGAGACCGCGCGCGGGGGACCCTGGAGTTGGCCAAGTGCGGGTTCGTAGGGGCGGGAGGGGGGGGGGGACAGCTCGGCAGCCAGGACCCGGGACCACCTTAACGGAGAGCCCCGCCCCGCGCCCGGCTCGCGCGGCGCTGATTGGCGCGCAGGCCATGGCTGCAATTGATTGCTGAAATGCAAAACTTGTTGCTGCTTCTCTCCGCGCCGGGCGAGAGGCAGACACCGAGGAGAGGGGAGCGGAGACCCTCGGAGCGCCCCACGCAGCGCCCCCCACCCCTCCACCCCCCGTGAGCCAGGAGAGAGGGGCGCGCAGACCCCCCGGAGCCGCCCCCGCCCCCGCAGCCCGCGCTCCGGGAGCTCCGCGGGAACGCCCGAGCCGGCTCGCCCGGTGTGGTCCTCCAGCCCGCGGACGCCCCCCGCCCGCCCCGGGTCCGAGCGAGGGGGGACTCGCGGAGCAGCTCAGCAGCGCCGAGGCAGGGAGCCCGAGCCTCGGAGAGACCCGACCCCTCGTTTTCGCCGCCCGTCCGAGCTGGAACCGGGCGCCGAGACCCCAGCGAACTCAGGAGACCGGACCGCGCGGAGGACCCAGAGCTGCAGCCGGCGGACCTGGCAGCGGAGCGGCGTGCGGGGGTGCAGCGCACCGGCCGCGGAGCGGGGGGGACCGTGCCTTCCTCCACCCTCCACCCCCCTGCAACCCTCGGGTCCAACCCCGGGTGCCCGCTGCGCCCTCGGCTCGGGGGCAGCCAGCGCGGGTGATGCCGAGCGGAGCCGCTTCCAGCCCTCCGACCCGCTGAAGAAGGGACAGGAGCCGCTTTTGCTCGGGGCCGACGGCCGGGGACTGTGCGAGCGGATCGTGCTTGGCGGCGGCGGCTCGAGCTGCACGGAGCGCGCGCGCGGGGACTCCGGGGGACGGGGAGGGCCGGCTCCGTCCGCGCCCCGGCGCCGGCCGCGGCTTTAGAGGGGTCTCTCCGCCCGGCCCCCCAGCAGCTCCGCTCCGGACTCACTCCCAGAGGCTTCGGGCGGCTTCCCGGGGCTCCCCGCCCGGGACCCGTGTGGACTTGAGAAGGTGATCGCTCTGCTTTCCCTGCCTCCGTCCCTCCTGCCTCCTCCTCTCCTCTCCCCACCGCCCCCCGCACTGAACTTTTTGTCTCCGCTGCTCGCCTGCAGCTCTGCTCCCTCCCCGCAAACCTGTGCCACCCGCCCGGGGCATGGGCCCTCCGACCCGGCTCCCGGAGGCCCCGCGGAGCCGCACGATGTGAGAGGCCCGCGTGGGGCAGAGCCGGAGCTGCGGGAGGGAAGCGGAGAAGCGGAGAAGCCCCAGCCTGCGCCGGCCGGGAGCGGGGGCGGCGCGCACTGCGTCCCCGGGCCCCGGGGGCCGGAGCTAACGGGCCAGAGGAGGAGGCGCGCAGCGGCGGCGGCGAGCAGGCTGTCATGCCCTATTGATCCCCCCGCACCCCCCGCCGCCAAGTATGTTTGGGCTGGACCAATTCGAGCCCCAGATCCCCCACAGCAGGAGCGCTGCCGCCGGCCAGGGCGACAGGAACTTCCACGAGGCCGGACTGAGCATGAACACCCACTTTAAGGCGCCGGCTTTCCACGCGGGGGGCCCTCCCCCGGGCGCCGTGGACCCCGCCCTGAGCGCGCTGGGCGAGCCCCCGCTCCTGGGCATGAACATGGAGCCCTACGGCTTCCACCCCGCGCCGCGCGGCCACTCCTCGGAGCTGCACGCCGCGGGGGGGCTGCAGGCGCAGCCGGCGGTGCACGGCTTCTTCGGGGGCCAGCAGCCGCCGCCGCACCAGCACCACCACGGCCACCCCCACCCCCACCAGCACCACCCTCACTTCGGGGGCAACTTCGGGGGCCCGGACCCGGGGGCCTCCTGCCTGCACGGGGGTCGCCTGCTCGGCTACGGCGGCGGCGGCGGCGGCGCTGGCGGAGGCCTGGGCAGCCAGCCGCCCTTCGCCGAGGGTTACGATCCGATGGCGGAGAGCCCGGGGCCGGAGAGCTTCGGCCCCCCGCCGCAGCGGCCCCCCGGGGGGACCCTCCCGGACTTCCACAGCTCGGGGGGCGCCTCGGGCCACGCCGTGCCGGCCCCATGCCTGCCGCTGGACCAGAGCCCCAACCGGGCCGCCTCCTTCCACGGCCTCCCCGCCTCCAGCGGCTCCGACGCGCACAGCCTGGAGGGCCGGAGGGTGGCGACCCAAGGAGCCGTCGTCGACTCGCTGGAATACAGTTACCCGGGCGAGGCGCCCTCGGGACACTTCGACATGTTCTCTTCGCCCTCGGAGGCCGAGGGGCAGCTGCCTCATTACGCGGGGCGCCAGGTTCCGGGGGGCGCTTTCCCCGGGGCCTCGGCGGCGCTGCCCAGGGCTGCGGGCATGGTGGGCTTGTCCAAGATGCACGCTCAGCAGCAGCAGCAGCAGCATCAGCACGGCGGCGTCTTCTTTGAAAGGTTCGGCGGGGCCCGCAAGCTGCCGGTGGGCTTGGAGCCGGGCGGGGTAGCCTCCAGGCACCCCCTGATGCAGCCCCCCCAGCAGGCCCCGCCGCCCCCGCCGCCGCAGCAGCCCCCGCAGCAGCCTCAGCAGCCGCCGCCTCCGCAGCAGCAGCCGCCGCCGCCCGGGCTCCTGGTCCGACAGAACTCGTGCCCGCCCGCGCTCCCGCGGCCCCAGCCCGGCGAGGCGGGCACCCCCGGCGGCGGCGGCGGCGGCGGCGGCCTGCAAGACGGGGGGCCCCTGCTGCCCAGCCAGCACGCGCAGTTCGAGTACCCCATCCACCGGCTGGAGAACCGGAGCATGCACCCTTACTCGGAGCCCGTGTTCAGCATGCAGCAGCAGCAGCAGCAGCAGCACCCTCCTCCTCCCCCTCCCCCGCAGCAGGCGCCCCACCAGCGGCTGCAGCATTTCGACGCGCCCCCCTACATGAGCGTGGCCAAGAGGCCGCGCCTGGACTTCCCGGACCGCTGCGCCTCGTGGAGCGGCGGCGGCGGCGGCGGCCTGGACAACCACCTCTCGCCCTCGGCCTATCCGGGCCTCCCCGGCGAGTTCACGCCGCCGGTGCCCGACAGCTTCCCCGCCGGGCCGCCCCTGCAGCACCCGGGCCCGGACCCCCAGGCCCTGCAGCAGCAGCACCAGCACCAGCAGCAGCAGCGCCAGAACGCGGCCCTCATGATCAAGCAGATGGCATCGCGCAACCAGCAGCAGCAGCAGCAGCAGCAGCAGCGGCTGCGCCCGCCCAGCAGCCTGGCCCCGCTCGGCCACCCCGGGGACGTGGGCCCGGGCGGCCTGGTGCACGGCTTGGCCCAGACGAGCTTTGAGCGCGAAAACGGCGGCGGAGGGGGTGCGGGGCGCCTGGGCGCCTTCGAGCAGCAGCACTTGGCGCCGGAGAGCGCGTGGTTCCCGGGTCCCCACGCGCCCCCGGGGGACCTGCTGGCCCGCCGCATGGGGGGCGGCGCGGGGCTGCAGCCCGCGGACTGCGGCGGCGGCGGCCCGCACGACCCCGGCCTGGCGCCACCACCCCCTCCTCCTCCGCCTGGCGGCGGCGGCGGCGGCTCGGGGGGCGTGCTGTTCCGGGGTCCCCCCCTGCAGGAGCCGCTGAGGATGCCCGGGGAGGGCCACGTGCCCGCGCTGCCCTCCCCGGGCGGCGGCGGCCTGCAGTTCGGGGGCGGCCTGGCCGGCCTGGGGCAGCTGCAGTCGCCGGGGGCGGCGGGCGGCGTGGGGCTGCCTAGCGCGGCGCCCTCGGAGCGCAGGCCCCCTCCTCCGCCCGATTTCGCCGCGTCCGCGCTCGGGGGCCAGCCGGGCTTCCCGTTCTCCAGCCGGCAGGCCACCCCGCACAGCGGCCCGGGCGTGAGCTCGCCCCCGAGCGCTGGGGGCGGCGGCCCCGGAGGCGGAGGCACCGGGGGCGCGTACCCGCCGCAGCCCGACTTCCCCGCCGGCCAGCGCGCCTCGGCCAGCAAGCTGGGCGCGCTCTCGCTCGGCTCCTTCAGCAAGCCCAGCTCCAAGGACAACCTGTTCGGCCAGAGCTGCCTGGCCGCGCTCTCCACCGCCTGCCAGAACATGATCGCCAGCCTGGGCGCCCCCAACCTCAACGTGACCTTCAACAAGAAGAACCCGCCCGAGGGCAAGAGGAAGCTGAGCCAGAACGAGGCCGCCGCCGAGGGCGCGGCGGCGGCGGTGGCGGGGGCAGCTGTGGCCTGCAATCCGGGCTCAGATTACTACCCGGGAGGAGGAGGAGGAGGAGGGACTGCTCCGGGGGCCCCGGGGCCTGGGGGAGGCCCCCCGGGGACCAGTAGCAGCAACAAAACCTCTGGGCCGCCCAACCCTGCCTCCCAGGGGGACAGCACCAGCCTCTCCCCAAACTACACCCTGGAGTCCACGTCGGGGAACGACGGCAAGCCGGTCCCCGGGGGCAGTGGCCGGGGCCGGGGGCGCAGGAAAAGGGACAGTGGGCACGTGAGCCCGGGGACCTTTTTCGACAAGTACTCAGCGGCCCCACCCCCGGACGGCGGGCCCGGGGTCAGCCCAGGCCAGCAGCAGCCTCAGCAGCCGGGCTCGGCCCTGGGGGGAGGCTCCAGCGAGGCCCGCGGGGCGCCCACGCCCCATGAGAAAGCGCTCACCTCGCCCTCCTGGGGCAAAGGGGCCGCAGAACTGCTCCTGGGGGACCAGCCGGACCTCATGGCCTCCCTGGACGGCGGCGGTGGTGGCGGCGCCAAGTCCGACGGGAGCTCCCCGCACGTCGTGGGCGAGTTCGCCTCCTCGGACGAGGTGAGCAGCAGCGGCTACGCCAACAACGAGGACGAAGTGTCATCCAGCTCGGACAACCCCCAGGCCCTGGGGGCCAAAGCGGCCACAGGCAGGAGCCCCCTGGTGATGACAGGTTCGCCCAAACTGCCTCCCAAGGCAGCGCCCTCGGCCCCGCTCGGCCTGGGCATCATGTCTACCTCTACCTCGACCCCTGACAGCTATGGCAGCGGCCACCCGGGCACGCCGGGCCTGGAGCAGGTCCGGACCCCGACGGGCAGCGGTGGCGGGGGCAGCAGCAGCAGCAGCAGCAGCACTGGGGTCGCACCACCGCTCCCCGACGAGATCCACCCCCTGGAGATCCTCCAGGCCCAGATCCAGCTGCAGAGGCAACAGTTCAGCATCTCCGAGGACCAGCCCCTGGGGCTCAAGGGGGGCAAGAAGGGCGAGTGTGCCATTGGCGGCGGCGGCGGGGGCGCCCAGAACGGAGACAGCGGCGAGCTGGGCGGCTGCTGCTCCGAGGCGGTCAAGAGCGCCATGAGCACCATCGACCTGGACTCCCTGATGGCCGAGCACAGCGCCGCCTGGTACATGCCCGCCGACAAGACCCTGGTGGACGGGCCCGAGGACGACAAGACGCTGGCGCCCTGGGAGAAGGCCAAGCCCCAGAACCCCAGCAGCAAAGAAGGTATATCCCTCCGCGTCTGGTCCCCTTTCCTTCCCTCCCAGAGACCCCCACCCACCCACCCCGCCCGGCCCCCTCTGCGGCCTGAACGGCCCCCTGGAAAGAGGGGGTCCTTTGGCACCACGGAGGCCACAGGGCCTTCTCTGAATGCCCGGCTCAGAGCTGGACACCCTTCCTCTGACTCACACCCAGGGCTCTATGAGTCTGCCCCTCCCCCTCCTGAGGTGCTGCCAGGTAGATCCTGGGTGCCACTGGGTGCTAAGACCTTAGGGTGGCGGGGAGGTGCGTTGAGGATTATTGCAGAGTCCCCACCCCCTTCCAGCTGGCTGCTCAGAGGTCTGGGTGCCTCTCCTTTCACATCAAGACCCCTCCTCGGCCACCACCTCCAGGCTGGTTCTGGTTTGGGGGGGCTCCTGTGCCCCCCTCCTGGTAGGACACTGGGATGTTAGGTCCATGTGCCTCCCCAGCTTTGCTAGGCAGCCAGTCTCCTCTGGCTGCTCCAGCTCCCTTCCCTGTGTGCCAGCATCTTTAGGGGAAGGAAAAAAAAAAGTTCCCAGTCCTGGTTGTGGCAGCATCCCTCAGAGGCAGTGCCTGGTGTGACCTGTGTTCCTGAGGAGTAGCTGTTTTGTCTCTCCTGAACTATTATTGGAGTTTTGTGGAAACGCCGGATATACCTGTAGGGGTTGCGGGAGGCAGGCAGTCATTCCCAGGTGCAAGCCCTGGACATTGGTGGGACTGGGGTGGGGGTCTGCGTGGCAGAGGCCAAGGCCACGGCCACTCACCCGGGGCATGGGGGTTTGCGAATGGGGGTAGGGATATATATTCTTGAGACACAAAGGACCCGCGATTTGTCAATATCCATCCCTGGCTTTGGTGGCAGATGTCCGGTCCCAGCTCTCCTTTGCATCCTAACCATTCCCCGCCAGCCCTCCCCCCCCCCCCCAATCAGGCCTGGGGGCTTTTAGGTGTGTGGGGTGAGGGCTGGTCCATGAACCACCATTGCAGTTAAGGAATAACAGTTTTTTGTTTTTTTTTTAACCTAAAAACGATGGGCTGCTGTAGATACCCATTTCATTTTCCTGGGACCTTCCTCTCCTCCCTTCTCCCCCTCCTCACAGATAATGGCTTTGTAAAGTTAGAGAACATCATTTCTTTCTTTTATTCCTTTCCTCCCCCACTTCTCCCCCTCCCTTTTTTTCTTTTTTTTTTTTTTAAATTCAAACCCTAGTTGAATCCCCTTGGTTTCAACAGGCTGAATAGGGACTGCTGATGCAAACCACGTCTTTAAAAGCACATCCCTTGATTTTCGCCCTCCCTCTCCTGAGTTATTTTCCTCTGCCTTCAATTCCCTCGTCCACCTCCTGGACCTGGGTCCCAGGGATGGGCAGGCTTTGGGAGCGTGGCATGGGCAGGAGAGGGGGTGGGGGGGGGTCGTCCAGCCGGAGCCGGTGGCTCAGACTCAGGGTTCTCGGGGCAGGCGCCTGTCCCGGGTCCTTCGCTTTCCCGCTTAGGTTTTTTCATTCATGAATGCGGTCGGCCTGGGCCTGGCTGCCTGGCTGCTGCTGCTGCTGCTTCTTTCTTTGTTCGCCTCCTGCTCGGCCCCGGGATGCTCTCTCATTTGAAGCCGGGTGTTTAGCATGCACAGCAGACGCCACCGGAGCCGGCATCAGCATTCTCCAGGCTCCTCCCGGGCAAGGCCATAAATTGGTTAGTTTGGGGCCCTCCGTGTCTTCTCCCCTTTTCTCTCCCCCCGCCCCCCGGTCTCCTTTTAAAAATGGAGTTGGACATGGCATCCTGCTTGCGCGGCCCCCCTTCGCTTTCATTTTCTTGTACAGAACATCTCGGTCCCTGCCGATCGATAGCTGGTTAGCACCGATCCCAGCCCCTGTCACGGCTACCTGGCTCAGCCGGGCTGTCCCTCCTCTTCCCCCTTCTCCCAGCTCCCCCCCTCCTCCCTTCCCCACCAGTAATTAAGAACATATTGGCCCAAATGGGGCGAGAAAAGTTAAGAAAAGGAAAACCCGATTTAGTGAATTCGTAAAGAAAAACCAGTAGCACGCTGCTGCCTGGGAGTCTTTGAAAAGATCTTAAGGGGGAAAGGATTGCGTGGCTTGAATGAGTTTTTTATTTTTTTTATTTTTTTAAAAGGTGTCCCACCACCCCCTTCCTAGTCCACCCCAGGAATCTTCCTTTATAAGGAAGAAGAAGAAGGAAAAAAAAAATAAATGAAAAGATGCAGGCTGTGAATGAAGACATGTCATGAAAGAAATGCTCTGTTTTGCCTGTTTCATGGTCACAGACAGATGAGGGAAAATGTTTGTGTTTTTTTTTTTTTTTTTTTTTTTTAAACAGATGCTAATCACTTTAGGGTTGATTTGCCCAATAGGCCCGCCCAACGCAGCCCTCCCCCGCACCCAGGAGGACAGGGCCTCCCTTCCACCCACTTGACCTCCTTTGTCTCTCACTCCGTGACGTGGGAAGGACAGGTTCCTAGATAAAGCCCTATATCGAGGTCCCTCGCAGCTCCAGCAGCCTTGGGGCTGCCCGGGGAGGGCTGTATAAGGCGTTTGCATCCGCTCGCTGCTCCCTTACTGGCAGTAAATAAGGGTGATTAAACTTTTCATTATGATAACGCCCTTCGGTTCCATCTGCACACGCTGTCTAAATAGGTACACAGAGCCTTCCACGGGCCCCCCCGAGTCCCCTGGCTGGAAATCACACCCAAGTGTGCCACTTTGAAATAGAGTTAAAAAAAAAAACACCTCACAAAACACAAACAACAACAACAACAAAAATACACAGCACCACTAAAGTAAAACGTTCTGCTTTTTTCTTAACCACGAGCCTCTATGCCCCCCCCCCAGCCAGCAAGCAGTGGTGTCCAGCAGCTTTGAATCACCCAGCAACCACTTTCTCCCCCCAACCTCCCACCCCCCTTTTCAGGCAAAGCTCATTTTTGTAACGCCATGTTATTTTGTCACGCCGTAAAACACGCGCCCGTCCCGATGTGATTAAATATTCACACCGTTTCTGAAATCTCTCCGCTCCGATGACCACATACCGGTCAGTATTTGACAGAACGGCCGGTGCTCGGGTCGGAGGGAAGGAATGGTGTCCTCAGAGCTGCCCACGCCGTGCGGCCCCTGGGATGTGCCCGGGTTGTCTTCTGGGGTTTTCAGATGGGGGAGCAAACGCGACGGGCAAGTGGCAGTCCTGGGAAAGTCTAGGCCAGCATGATGTGTGATTACGATTTTTTTTTTTTTTAAACCAGGAAAGCGAGTCTCTCCCCTGACTTCTTATCAACCCACCGAACAACTTTTTATAGCACGAAACTCTGCATCTCAGGATGATGTTGAGTTTGCACAAAGTTGGAATAGGGGGAAGGGTGCAAAGGAAAACACACACACACACACACACACACACACACACACACACACAAATTAAAAAAAAAAAAAAAAACCCAGCCTAGTTTGGGGCCTATTCAGACATCTATGACATTAGGGAGCTTGCCATGCGTTTGAAAGGAGTTTGCAGAATTGCCCACCTATCTCTGTACTTAGATGCGTGGCCGTGAAGGAATCCCAAAACTGATGAAGAACTCGACATGAACGCTAGCTCGAGTGCAGAGAAGGAGAGATTGCAGGAAACGGCGTGCTTCACTCCCCCCTCCCCCCCTCCTGCCTCTTCCCCAGAATTTTCAAAACTTGGATCCACCATAATTCTGGGACACAAGTTGATCCTGGCCAAACTTCCTTTCCACCGGCTGCTGCTCTCTCTTAAAACCAGGAGCAGTCCAGAGACGCTCGCTCCTGTCCCTTGGCGCGGGAGAGGTCTCCAGTCTCTGCTCTGCATGCAGTCCTGCCCTCTTTGGGAGTAGGATTCGTTCACAGCCATGGTGCGGGAGGAAATTTTTGGAATGTCACGCTCCCCTCTGCGGCGATCCGGTCGGAACGCAGATAGGATGACAACTCTGAGAAACCCTGCATTTCCTTTAGGCACGGGGCAGGCTGGGCGGGGGGACGGAGGGGGACTCCGCATGTTGGTTTTTTTTTTTTTTTTTCCTCCTCCTGAACGGTTTCCCCCACATCTTTGGAGAGAAGATTCAGGCGCACGCAAACTTGTCTGGGATGGGAGGTGGGGGAGAGAGGGGAGGCCAGAGACCTTGCCTTCCCCCTGTCCCCGTGAGAGCATCCAGCCAGGGTTGCATGCCTCCATGGGACTTGCTCGGCCTTCTTTTCCTCCGGGGGAAGATGTAACCCAAGACTTCGCAGGTGTGAACTGGGGGGGGGGTGTGTGATGTCAGCAGAAGCCCCCTTTGTGCAGCTGACGGGAGGGCCTGCCTGCCTGCTCCCGGCTCGTCCGGGACGCACTACTTAGCACCGTGCGTGGCGCTTGTTGAATATTGCATGGCCGCAATAAACCTGTCTTCTCCGCCCGCCTCCCGACATAAGAACCCCCCAACCCAGCACACACCGACAATCACACGTTCCCGCTAAATATTAATAAAGGACAAGGATGCGTTCAGGGGCTGAGAGCTTCGTGCTGTGGAGCTTGCCATGGTTTCTGCCCCTGGATTTGTGTTTTTTTTGTTTTTGTTTTTCTTCTTCTTCTTCTGGCTGTTTTGATTTTAAGGAGCCATGGCCTTCTAAGAGGTAACCTATACTTATGTATGCTCCTCTGTATACATATAGACATTTTTTAAAAATTATTTTTGCAGGTTGCAGGGTGTTTCCTCAAGGAAAATATAAATATAAATCCATTTCAATGTCCTGGGCCTCCCTCCCTCAGGAAGTAGAGAGACCGTCGAGAAGTACTTATGTTCTTGAGGTTTCTAGGAAAGGAACGCGAGGCTTGGTGGTAATCTCATTTCTCTTTCTAGCAATGAGATCCGATGGCTCCCGATGCGATTCCGTTTGCCCGACAGAGGTATTTAAATTTCCACCGAGAACCTTAATGCGTCCGGAGCACCGGGGCCGCCCTCGCCAAGAAGGGACGCGATCCTC